GCGCAAATTTCCCGCCCTCCCACCCGCATCCTGGTCGGCAAAACTCGTGAGGTCGCGACTGCAGTTGTAGACTGGAGTTCGTCCGCAAATTTCATCGAGCCCACTGGCGCGCGGACCCTCGCGGCGCGGGCAAAGTCCGTCTTGCGGGAGACAGCGCGGGCGACCGCGTCGACAAACGACGATGAGGTGGTTGGCAGAATTCATAATGTCGCGTGTACAGTTGCGGCGTGGAGCTCCTCCGATAAGTTCATCGCGTTCCTTGCCGCGCGGACCTCGTCGCGCGGACAAAGTCCATCTCGCGGGAAACAGCGCGGACGACGGCGTCGGCAAACGACGATGAGATTGATCGCGACGCTTCCGACGGCAATAGTCACGACGCTTCCGACGGTGCCCCAGATGATATTATGATAGGGATCGCGCCTTTGGCATGCGCGCGAGGGCACCGCGCTACGTTCGACATGCCCGCGCGAAGGCTTCCTTACACAGGTAAGTTGAACAATCGGCGTTGGGCTTCCTACCGCAGGAATGCGCGGGGTGAAATGTTGAAAACGCATGGTTGAACAGCAAACTTGTGCATGACGTTTTTACGTTATAATCGCAAGGAATCAAGGTTTTGGAAGGATCTCGTTTTGCGCGCGCGCACGTGGCCCGCATGGCAGTAGTTCTTCGGGATTCGCGCGTTCAGGCTCATCCTAGGTCAACGCATGTGCACCGCGTGCTAGTATTTGACCAGGATGAGGGGGGACCTAGTACCGTGACTAGCTGGGATGGTATGGACTGATTTGGGAGATCAGCAAGGGGGCATACTCATATGTAAATTGCAATACCTCAGGGGGGAGCGGCAATCCAGGGGGGGGCAGCGGGAGAACTCACCGATGCTGGATTCGAAGTTGTCTACCCCACTGCTCGCGCAATCCTCCCACGCACCCGCCCGCAACTGGGCTTGCAAAACCCTTGTGGCGGGGAGTGCGATGAGTGCTTGGCGTTGGCTCGTGCATCCCTGCGGCCGCGCTGACCCGCGCATGCTCGCGCGCGCAGTGGCCCGCTGTTTTGGCGCGGCGGACGCGGCCGCGGTGGCGTTGCCCTCTGGATACTTCCCAGCGGGAACTTCAGTGCGAGTCGACGATTTGGGCGGGCGCGGTATCATGGCAACGTCAACAATGGTGGACACGTTGATGATAGTAGCGGTGTTGGTGACGATGGTGACAGCGGCGACGGCACGGCCAATGACGGCGCCGATGTTGATGACGCCGGCGACGATGACGTCATCCCCGCGTCGGTGATGAAGGTTTTGGAAGGAGTTCGACATGCGCGCGCGGCCGACGCGCGGAAGTGGCCCGCATGCTATTATTTGACATGGACCGTGCCCCCCCTGGCACGCGCCCAAGAGCGTTCGAATGATTCCGGCATGCGGCGCGAGTGGCCCGTTTGACAGAAGTTAATGAACGCGGTGAACAACTCATGTTGTTTAAGGATTTCGCAGAAGCGCGAACACGTTTTTTGTTTGAAAACTGATGTTGCGAAACCATATGCCTTTGTTTCACGATTTCGGAACGGTCGATTTCAACACCATACGAAACCTATGGTTTTTGGAAAATTTCGGCACGCGCGCGTGACAACGCGCGCGTGTGCACTTCGTCGTGGTTGTTGCAAGTGATTCTTGCGACACCACGCGCGCAAAGGGCGTTCCAACCATCTCGGGTATTTGAAGATTTCGGCATGCGGGCCCGACTGCGCGCGCGTGCGCAGTGCGTCCCGTCTTCTGCAATGGATTTGTGAAGACTGGTGATTTGTTCATAATCGGGTGCGCGTGCATAGTATCATTTGCAGAGGACGAGGCGGGGGGTCGATACCATGGACGAGAGGCCAGGATCACACATGAGTTTCCAGTCAGAAAGGGGGGATACACCCGTGGGGATATCTCCGAAGATCTTGTTGGGAAGGGGAATATAGGTGGTACAACTCATGGTGCGCAAGTGATGTTGGGCCTGTCTGGAGCCCCCGGCGGCCGCCATGTCGCCGATGGCCGCGACGGTGCTGCCCCAGTCGGTGCAGCCGTCGATGTCGGAGTCCGTGTCGGTGCTCGGGTCGTTTTTGTCCCTCGCCGCCGGCACTGACATCGGCGCCGCCGAGGCCGAGCGTCGACGGGCAGAGCGGGGATGGGGTAGCTCCCTCCGTGTGCAACTCGGGCCCTGGAAGTGGCCTGACAGGGTGGTGGTGATGACGATGACGATGACAGAGACGATGGCATGATGACGATGACGATGCATGTTGAATGCCGAGCGCACTCTGCACTCGTGACTATGGTATTGGGATCGCACCGTCATCGTAATCGTCATCGCGGGGGCCCCCGAAGGCGTGTTAGCCGGCTAGGTCGTCTTCGAAGGATTCCGCTGCGGCCTTCCGCTAAGCGCCGACCTCGTCCTGACTGTATTAGCATTTGCGCTGCAGTGGGTTCGCGCGGCCATGCCCTTAGTGGTCCAGGGCAACATGTAGTTCAAGTGGCCTTTATGAGGGGTTGCCAAGTTGCAGCACCACAGGCGGCCTTGCCGAGCGCCCATGTCGAAGCAGCACGGCGCTATGTGGCACGCATACGATCTCCGACACGCTGACCTCGATCTGGCCTTCGGCGAGGGCTTCTGAGATCGCCAAGAGGTCGCGGAAGGAGTCGTCCTTTCCTGGGACATGCCGCGTCGCCTGCGTCGTAGCGAATATGACGGTGCCCTCGGGCTCGTCGAGGATGTCGGTGTCCACTATCTCGTTGGGGGTGATGTTGAAGTCGCTGCCCAGGATCCAGGGCCTTTTTGGCTGCGCGCGCCGATGCCCTAAAACTTGCCGATGCTGGTGAGGTTGCGCCCTGAGCGGGCGCCACAAGCAGGGGCTGCTGAGGATGATGCCGCCATTCCGCACCGTATTGGTCTAGGCTACTCGTACTAGTACCGCCAGGCGGCTGCACGGGACGCGTCCAAGCTGCTGCCGTGGTTCCTGCCGCCCACGTAGTCGAGGGCCATGGTCTTGGGCGTTGCGATCGCGACGCCCGCGCTGTAGCCGTTGTTGGTCTGGGCGCGGGGACCGTGGCCAGTCTCTTGCCGTCTCTACCGGAACGCCTCGTGGCGTCCAGCAGCTTCTCTTCGTGACAAATAATTTCATAATTTCGAAATCTTCACGAAACCTGAGGTATTTGAAGATTTCGGCATGCGGGCCCGACTGCGCGCGCGTGCGCAGTGCGTCCCGTCTTCTGCAAGGGATTTGTGAAGACTGGTGATTGTTCATAATCGGGTGCGCGTGCATAGTATCATTTGCAGAGGACGTGGCGGGGGGGTCGATACCATGGACGAGAGGCCAGGATCACACATGAGTTTCCAATCAGAAAGGGGGGATACACCCGGGGTGATATCTCCGAAGATCTTGCTGGGAAGGGGAATTCAGGTGGTACAACTCATGGTGCGCAAGTGATGTTGGGCCTGTCTGGAGCCCCCGGCGGCCGCCATGTCGCCGATGGCCGCGACGGTGCTGCCCCAGTCGGTGCAGCCGTCGATGTCGGAGTCCGTGTCGGTGCTCGGGTCGTTTTTGTCCCTCGCCGCCGGCACTGACATCGGCGCCGCCGAGGCCGAGCGTCGACGGGCAGAGCGGGGATGGGGTAGCTCCCTCCGTGTGCAATTCGGGCCCTGGAAGTGGCCTGACAGGGTGGTGGTGATGACGATGACGATGACAAAGACGATGGCATGATGGCGATGACGATGCATGTCGAATGCCGAGCGCACTCTGCACTCGTGACTATGGTATTGGGTTCGCACCGTCATCGTAATCGTCATCGCGGGGGCCCCCGAAGGCGTGTTAGCCGGCTAGGTCGTCTTCGAAGGATTCCGCTGCGGCCTTCCGCTAAGCGCCGACCTCGTCCTGACTGTGTTAGCATTTGCGCTGCAGTGGGTTCGCGCGGCCATGCCCTTAGTGGTCCAGGGCAACATGTAGTTCAAGTGGCCTTTTTGGGGGGTTGCCAAGTTGCAGCACCACAGGCGGCCTTGCCGAGCGCCCGTGTCGAAGCAGCACAGCGCTATGTGGCACGCATACGATCTCCGACACGCTGACCTCGATCTGGCCTTCGGCGAGGGCTTCTGAGATCGCCAAGAGGTCGCGGAAGGAGTCGTCCTTTCCTGGGACATGCCGCGTCGCCTGCGTCGTAGCGAATATGACGGTGCCCTCGGGCTCGTCGAGGATGTCGGTGTCCACTATCTCGTTGGGGGTGATGTTGAAGTCGCTGCCCAGGATCCAGGGCCTTTTTGGCTGCGCGCGCCGATGCCCTAAAACTTGCCGATGCTGGTGAGGTTGCGCCCTGAGCGGGCGCCACAAGCAGGCGCTGCTGAGGATGATGCCGCCATTCCGCACCGTATTGGTCTAGGCTACTCGTACTAGTACCGCCAGGCGGCTGCACGAGACGCGTCCAAGCTGCTGCCGTGGTTCCTGCCGCCCACGTAGTCGAGGGCCATGGTCTTGGGCGTTGCGATCGCGACGCCCGCGCTGTAGCCGTTGTTGGCCTGGGCGCGGGGACCGTGGCCAGTCTCTTGCCGTCTCTACCGGAACGCCTCGTGGCGTCCAGCAGTTCTCTTCGTGGGTTCTGCAAACCCCTGCCGAGATCGCCGGCAACAGGGTGTAGGCATGGCACATGCCGCAAAACGTCATCCAGCAAATATACCGTCTTGCTTGGCTTTGACGATAAGTGGAGGGAGGGCGGCGGGAAGAGGAGGAGGAAAAGGAGGAGGACGAGGCGGAGGGGGAGGAGGAGGGAGGAGGTAGGAGGAGGTAGGAGGAGGAGGAGGAGGAGGAGGAGGAGGAGGAGGAGGAGGTAGGAGGAGGAGGAGGAGGAGGAGGAGGAGGAGGAGGAGGAGGAGGAGGAGGAGGAGCACGGGACACCGCGACGACGTCGACGACGACGACGAAAACTGCGACGACGACGACGACGACGACGACGACGACGACGAGAGGGAGGGGTTGGACGCGAGGCCACCCTGCTGACCCTGCACGGCGGCCCCTACCAGTCCCTGGCCTCCGCCGCGAGGGGCTCGGGCGCGCTGTGGGCGCAGGAGGGCCCGGCGCTCCCCCCTCGCCGGCTTCCCGGGGGGGACGCCCGCGCGGGGCTCGCCACGGGTCGAGGGCAGCCAAGAGTCAGAGCGTGAATTGCCTGCCCCGCTTTCGCTTCCAGGCAAAACCAAGGCATACCACGCGCCTCCTCGTCAAGCGGCCTGACCAGTACAGGCCGTAGTCCGGCGTCGCTCGGTATCTCTTGGAAGCGAGGGTGGTCAAACGCGAGGTAGGTTTGTTTGCCCCCTGAAGAGGGGGGTGACGACAGGGGGGGGGGATAGCATTCGGGTATGGCCAGGACCCCAGTTAAGGGGACCCGGTTCGTGGTCGGGCCCTGGAGTCCCTAAATGGGCCAGATTCACTTCAACCAGATCTGCCGTAGCTGGTGTTTTTTCGGGTGGTGGCAGTTGCGGTAGTGGAACGGGGCCGGAGGGCGTCCCCCAGTACACATCACTGAACCAGGTCCCACTCAAGCCAGTTCTGCCAAGGCCCGAATCATGGCGGGGGCCATGACATTCCTCCAGATTTCATGGCGGCTCTTCCTATTTCAATATGTCCCCGGACCCCCCCTGGGCCGCGCACATGCCGCCGGCCCTTACTTGCCCCCCCCCCTCCCTCTTGGACGCCCCCGCACGGGGGCATCCAGGGGAAACGTCAGGGGGGAAGTTCGCGTGGCCTTCCTCTTGCTGCTGCTGCGCCGGAGACCTTCGCGCAGGGAGTGCCCTCACTCTTCCTCCCCCCCGGCCTGCGGCGACCTCCGCCCCCTCCCACTCCTCCTGCCTCCGGACACTTCGTGCGCCCGCTCCCGCTCCTCCTCCTCCTCCTCCTCCTCCTCCTCCTCCTCCTCCTCCTCCTCCTCCTCCTCCTCCTCCTCCTCCTCCTCCCCCACCTCCCCCTCTTCCGGCTAACTCGAGTGCGCGAGCGGATCGCCTCGGACGCGCTGCGACGGAGAAGTCCTCGTGCTGCTGCGTGTTGCGAGCCCGTGCCGCACCCGCTGGCGCCACAGCTGCACAGCCAAGGCCCGCTCAGCCTTGGGCAGGAGGGGGTCCGGGGCTGGAGGTGTCTGGACGTACTCGTCGGTCCTCTGCGGTTCTCCAGCCTCGGGGTGCTCTCCAGCCGCTGCGCCTCGCCGATGGCGTTCGGGGGGTGCCCGGATCCTCCCGGGTGGCCGCCCGAGAGCGGAGCACCGGCCCGAAGGCCAAGGGGGCAGCGACAGGGGGGGCCTGCTCGGGGTGGGACGCATCGATCAGGAGGGAAAGAAGCACACAGACACCATTAATCCTCGATTCCCTAGAAAATATGGGAAAATATGGGAAGTGGGGGGGGAAGACAGAAACCCAGAACATATGGGAAAATACCGAACATCGCCCACCAATCGCCGATGGCGATGGAAGCCTGCTAGCCCGCCCCGTCCTGGAGCGTGCGGGCTTGCTACCGCGGGCCTGTCGCCAATCCGTCGGCGATGCATCGCCGCTTCTGGTTCGACGGTTCCTCGCCCCCCCCTCGACGAGCCGGTCTCTTTCCTCACGCTTCCCCTCAAGGATGCGCATGTGAAGGGGGAAGAGTTGGTGCTCACAGCCACTGCGACGGCCCCCCTGGGTCCTTATCCGATCCGGCCGATCAGCCTACCGGCCCGTCGGGCGCCGTTCCGCCGATCGGCCAATCGGCCAACCAGCTGGTCAGTCTTATTGGATGAGCGGTTGATCTGCTGGTTGCTGCCCAGTCGGCTGATCGGCTGACTGGCTGGTTGTCGCCTGATTGGCTATCCGGCTGATCAGCCGATCGGCTGGTTGGCTTGTCGTGCCCCCGAGCCAGTACGCGATGCAGGCGAAGCGGTTGCGCTATCTGGGGTTCGGCCTTCGCGCAGACATGAAAAAGAAGCAAGCGAAGGTAGAGACGAGACGACGGACGAGGGGGACCGCCGCATGCTCTCCCTAGGGGCCGTGCAAAATCCACCCCTCAACACCCATCCCCGTGTCCTCACTCCTAACCGCCCCAGCGCAGCGAACCTGTGGGGGGATCTGCCGCTGAGAGTCTCCCATGCCGCCGTCGTGCCCTCCGCGTTCCTCGTGGCGTCTTCGTAGAGGACACACCTTCAATCATGTGGACACGCAAGGAGACGGTTCCAGGAACTGTCCAGCAATAGCCCGGAGGGCAAAAATGGACGCAGACACCGATAAACGCCGATTTCGCTGAGCACGCTGAAAAGCATGGGCGATGAAGGTGAAGACGACACTCTAGAAACGACATGGAACAAATCTGGGGAGTCCTTGAACAGGTGGCCCCCCTGCGCGTTCTTGGCACCCCCCCTCCTGCTCTACATATGCAGCTTCCTTACGTTTGGGCGCTCCGGCCCCGCCCGCGTAGCCCTGAGTCGGGCATGTCCCTCTACAGGAGGAATGTTCAAGGATAGTTAAACTTATAGTCAGGTGGCGATTATCCGTGCTCGTTTGACTCGATGAATTTTGACCACTGTTGATGTGTCTTCAAAATCCGCCTGTAGGAGGACATGCCTGACCTAAGCTTAGCCCTCTTGCGTGGACAGTCACGCGGGCACTCTTACTGTGCTGTACAGTGGAAGCCCTCGCCAAGAAACACCCTGCTCACCTCCAGGGCACCCCGGGTGTCTTCGGCTTCAATGGTTTTACTGTGGAGGGCGTGGCGTTCCCACACCAACAATCCAGGGACGTCCTGGGGTCTCAGGGTTGGGTTCCTTGTGGAAGGTCTCTTGTGGTCGAGCTCCTGCTATCAGGCTCCCGCCCGCTATCTGCAGCGAGCGGCGGGCACATCCATCGGGCAGCGCTGCAAATGGAGGTACTCTTGGGTGGGGGCACCGCCACCTTCTGAAGGTCGGGGATCGAGGCGGAGGGAGGATCGAGGGTCGGGGAGAGGGCCTGGGACACTCGGAGGCGGATCGAGGAGGGAGGATCAGAGGGAAGCCTGCTTCTTCTTGGAGGAGATCGAGGATCGAGGATCGGGAGCGATCCGACCCTGCACTGTGCGGTGCCCGCCGCCGCCGAGGACGGGCGGAGGAGGAGGAGGAGGAGGAGGAGGAGAAGGAGGAGGAGGAGGAGGAGGAGGAGGAGAAGGAGGAGCAGGAGGAGGAGGAGGAGGAGGAGGAGGAGGAGGAGGAGGCTCAGGCTCGGGCGGGAGCGGCCGCGCGACTCCGCGGGCGCCAGCGCACAGGAGGCCGGCGGCGCCGTGGTGCGGCTGCGCACCCGCGGGGGCGCAGCGGGGGAGCTGGTGCCGCACTTCGAGATCGGCGCGCCCGTCCTGGGGAGAGGGGAGGAAGAGAGGGAGGGGGAGGAGGGGAGGGGGGGGGGGAGGGGAGGGAGGAGGAGGAAGGAGGAGGAGGAGGAGGAGGAGGAGGAGGAGGAGGAGGAGGAGAGGAGGAGGAGGAGGAGGAGGAGGAGGAGGAGGAGAGAGGAGAGGAGGAGGAGGAGGAGGAGGAGGAGGAGGGAGGAGGGGGAGAGGAAGGGAGGAGGAGGAGAGGGAGGAGGAGGAGGAGGAGGAGGAGGAGGAGGAGGAGGAGGAGGAGGAGGAGGAGGAGGAGGAGGAGGTGGAGGAAGAGGAGGAGGAGGAGGAATGAGGAGCAGGAGGAGGAGGAGGAGGAGGAGGACGAGAGGGAGGAGGACAAGCTAGGTGCACTCATGCCATATCTGACGTCCTACCTTTCCCTCCCATCCCTTAGCATAGCTTAGTTTTCCTCTCTATTCGCGCAGTCGAATGTCGTAGCATGCCATAACTTCACATGGCATAACATTATGTTGAAGATCGAGGAGGACGGGTAGGAGGAGGAGAGGGAGGATGAGGGGCCCATGCAGTGCCCTGGCGGGGCTGTGGCTGGCCCGGCCGAGCGGAAGGCCCTCCTGCGGCGCTGCAAGCGGGAGGTCCGCCTGGCCCTCCGTGTTTACGACCGCGAGGTATGGGGCGTTGCGACTCGATACCATCTGCCAGGTTTCGGAGTTCCTCTCTCCTTCTTCCAGCCGTATGCTCGGGGTGATGCGGGGGCGGGAACACATGCACTAGAAGAGCTTGGCTCATTCCATTTCTTGTTATGGGCTGTTTGCCGCATCTCAGGCAAATGGCCCCTACGAGTCCCTGGATATGGTGTCGCTCCAGTGCGTTCGGAGCACTCGTCAAGCTGTTCTGGTCACCCATGCCTTGGCAGGGTGCGCGGATACAGCAGAGCTTCGCGACGAGCTCTGGCGCAACACCCCCACGCCTCGGGCTACTGACACGAGAGCGGTCCTGCACGCCCTTCTCGGCCCCGCGCGGGGACCTGCGCACGCATGCGGGAGGCACGCTGGGGCCCAGGGCGGACGCAGGCGTTGGTGGGGCCTGCACGGCGCTGCAGACGGCGGCGCGGGAGTGAGCAGAGCGGGCTGCTGGCGCCCGTCTGGGGCCGGAGGGCGAAAGGGACCCCGACCCATGCCCCGGGCGGGCGCGGCCTTGCCGCGGCAAGCGCGTGCCCGCGGTAGCGCCACATGGAGAACACGAGAGAGCGCAAGAGCGAGGGGGGGATGCGGAGGAGGAGGAGGAGGAGGATGAGGAGGAGGAGGAGGAGGAGGAGGAGGAAGTCGAGGAGGAGGAGGAGAAGGAGAAGGAGGAGGAGGCGAGGAGGAGCAGCAGGAGGAGGATGAGAAAGAGGATTAGACGGACGAGGAGGAGGAGGAGGAGGAGAAGGAGGAAGAGGAGGATGAGCAGAAGGAGGAGAGGATGAGGAGGAGCAGCAGGAGGAGGGCAAGGAGGTGGGCGATGAGGAGTGCAAGGAGGAGAGGCGAAGGAGCTGGACGGCGAGAGCCCGGATTTCTGCCGATGCGCTATATTTGGTGCAATCCTGGCACGGCGGGGGAGTTTATGCCGCACCTCGAGATCGGCGCCCTCCCCTGGGGAGAAGGGGGATGAGGAGGGGCGTCCCAGTAATTAGTCCCTCATCTTTCGGTGGCTTCCCGTGGTTTTCATCCTTCACTTTATGAGTCGCTCGAGTAGGGGATCGACTACAGAGTTGGTTTACCCCAAACTTGATTTTCTTGTCGAGTGTACGAAAAATACATGGCATGCCCATACATCATTCCACGTACTCGTTTCTCAACTTCGGCCAGGAAATCCAGTTTCGGGCAACTCAATCATGTAGTCGATCCCCTACTTGAATCATAGTCTCCTCGGCATTGCTTAGTTCTCCCATGCCCTGCGGCACGAAGACTCTACGCCCTGACGGCCTGCCCTCCCGACCCGCCTGTTAGGGTCTACTTGCCCGATCAGCCCGTTTGTTTCTGCCACGTGCTGTCTGCTCCTGGCCTGCCTCCTGCCAATCCCGTGCTTCACCCGTTTCCCTCCCCCTTTGTCCCTTCCTTCCGTCCGTCCTCTCATCCCCTGTCTTAGGGGCTGCGCAAAGCACACGTTTCAGGCCAGAAAGGTGTCTATCCCAAAGGGGGTCCGATCGAAGTCGAAGAGAGCTGGTATCGAGGGTTCGGGATACACGTGTTGAATGGCCCGCGAGCAGATAAGAGCGAACAGTCTTAATATGATGATTGTTGCTGTTGTTTGTGGTGGTGGTGGTGGTGATGTTGGTGGTGTTGCTGTTGGTATTGGTGTTGGTGTTGTTGTTGCTGCTGTTGTTGGTGTTGCTGTGGTGGTTGTTGTCGTTTTTTTTTTTTTGCATTCGCATCTCGAAAGAATAAGTGTTGTTGATCCCTCTGCGCGGTAATCCTTGCATATCTCAAGTGAAGTGATTACCTGGGGGTTCGCACCAGGTTTTTACAAGGGAAAGCAAGGTGCGACCAAATTGCGCCCCTGGCCCCTGGTTCACAGCAACAACGGCTCCCGCCTGATGCGCCCTCACCATTTCTTCCCAAATCGAGCTCTCGCGCGGGACGTCCTCACAATTTATACAGGAATCGCGCTCTCGCGTAGGATTTCATTGCAATTTCTTCAGACGCCGCGTCCTCGACACTCAGGAATCGCGCTCTCGCTGTATATTTCCGAACGATGTATTCAAGAATCGCGTTATCGCCTGAGACTTCCCCCTTCCGAGAGCTTTCATTTCTAACGAATAAGTGTTGATGATCCCCATTCCCCGTTCTGTTAACATGTTTTCTCGGGGCTCGGACCCGGTGTTTTTTTTACAAGGGAAAGCGAGGTGCCACCAAATTGCGCCCGTGCGCCCCTGGTTTGCAACAACGACGGCTCCCGCCTGATACGTCCTCACCATGTATTCCCAACTCGCGCTCTCGCGCGTCCTCACAATTTATGCAGGAATCGCGCTCCTTCGTGGGACTTCTCTGCAATGTATTCAGACGCCGCGCCCTCGACACTCAGGAATCGCGCTCTCGCTGTGGATGTCCTCACGATTTATTTGGGAATCCCGCCGTCTCTCGAGACTTCCTCGCGATTCATGCAGGACGAACGCTTCAGCAACCCACCTGCTCGGCCTGGCCGCCTGGGCCTGCCTTCCCGACCCGCCTATTTCGGTCTACCCACTCGATCAGCCCGTCTGGTTCTGTCACGTGCATTTTGCTCCTAGCCCCCAACCTGCTACTCTCTCTTGTGCTCCCTCCTCCTCCTTCTCCCTTGTCCTTTCCTTCCATCCGTCCTCTATCACCCTGCCTTAGGGGCTGCATAACATGCACGTTGCAGGTAAGAAAGGTAGACCCCCACGGGGGCACGATCGAAGACGAACGGTATAGAGGGTTTGGGATATGGCACGCGAGCAAATAAGAACGAACCGAACAGGTTCAGCATGATTCATGTTGTTGCTGCTGCTATTGTTTTTGTTCTTGAATTTTCATTACTGAAGATTAATGATTGTTGGTCCCTCCTGTGGTGATCATTGTGTTTGTTTCAATTGAAGTGCTTCCCCCGGGGCTCGCACCCTGTTTTTTTATATAAAAACGTAAAAAAGCAGGGGAAGTCACAAGTGTCAAACTGCGCCCCTGGCCCCCTGGTTACAACAACAACGGCTCCTGCGTGAGACTTCCTCACAACTTAGCCAGGACCCCCGCTTCCGCCTGAGACTTCCTCAGGAATCGGTCTTTCGCTTGGGACTCCCTTTTAATGTATTATGGAATCGCTCTCTTGGCGCTCTGGAGTCGTGCTTTTGCTCTGGAGTCGCGCTCACGCCTAGGACTTCTTCGCTCTTTCACAACTTATTTAGGAATCGAGATCTCGCTGCCTTTCGTGGTCCCGTTGCTGCCTTCCGTGACCCTCTGGCTACCCTTCGCAGCTGTTCGTGGTCCCCTTGCTGCCCTTCGTGGCCCCCTCGTTTTCCTTCGTGGCCCCGTTGCAGCCCTTCGTGACCCTCTCGCGCTGCCCTTCGTGGCGCCGTTGCAGCCCTTCGTGGCCCCCTCGCTGCCCTTTGTGGTCCCCCTTCGTGGCCCCCTCGCTGCCCTTCGTGGCCCCGTGGCAGCCTTTCGTGGCCCCCTCGCTGCCCTTTCGTGGCCCCGTTGCAGCCCTCCGTGACCCCCTCGCTGCCCTTCGTGGCCCCGTTGCAGCCTTTCGTGGCCCCCTCGCTGCCCTTCGTGGCCCCGTTCCTTCGTGGCCCCCTCGCTGCCCTTCCTTCCTCCCTCGTCTTCCCGTTTGAGGGGCTGCGCCAATGACAGTTGCCAGGCAAAGAAGATATACCCCTAAAGAGGTACCGTCGAAGATGAAGAGGGCGGGTACTGAGGATGTGGGATGTGCATGTTGAGAGACACGCATGCATGTAAGAGCGATCAGTCTTATAACGATTGTTGTTATTGTTCGTATTGCTGTTGTTGTTGTTGTTGTTGATGTTGATGTTGTTGTTGTTGTTGTTGCTGCTGTTGTTGTTGTTGTTGTTGAACATTATTTATTCTAAAGAATAATTATTGTTGGGCCCCCTGGTGCGCGCCCCCCCTGCGCCGCCTAGGCCGCAGCTACATTTTCATCATTTTCGTGAGGAAGCCTCAGGTAAAACGATGTGATCCAGATCCGGTTGTTTTGTTGTAATCCGTTTTCCCTTGCAAAAAACACTATAAAATGACATTTCTTGTTCTAATATAATCAAATTTCAAGAATCCCTTGCAAAAAATAAGGTAAAGTGGACATTCGCGCGCGCAAGACGAAATCCTTCCAAAAGCTTAGTGTTCGGAACGATTTTAACATAAAACATCAAAAAACCAATGGTTTTTCAACACAAAAATGTCAAAATCTCATCCCGCGCGCTCTTGCGGATTCGTAGGAAACCCAACACTTTTTAAACATTTCTGTCAAACGGGCTTTTGCGAGCAACTTTTTCGAACTTCTGCGACAACGGTTGCGCACCTGCCAGGGCCATCATCCCTGTCAAATAATACCATGCGGGACACATTCGTTTTTTCTTCGCGCGCGCACGCCGTCGTCGTCGGCCGCGGGGCCCTGAATAGTAGCCACGGTCGTCCGCATGCCACGAAGTGAAGTGTCCGAACGTCATAGGGCGGGAAGCTGGGTGTGGGTGGTGGCGAAGAGTCGTTTGGAAATTTGGTAGAGCTTGAACCGGCCCCCCCACAAAGTGGGGGTATTGTCCGCCTCCTATGAAAACCCTGGCACTGGTGAGAACGGAGTGTCCCCACGTGCTAGTAATTGTTGTTGTTGTTGTTGTTGTTGTTGTTATTGGTGTTGTTGTTGTTGTTGTTGTTGTTGTTGTAATTGTTGTTGTTGTTGTTGTTGTTGTTGTTGTTGTTGTTGTTGTATTTGTTGTTGTTGTTGTTGTCGTCGTCGTCGTCGTCGTCGTCGTCGTCGTCGTCGTCGTCGTCGTCGTTTGGTGCCGTCGTCCCCCCCGCGACCCACCCCTCGACCCACCCGTGACTCACTCTGCGATCCTCCTGCGACCCACACACGTTGCGTGGACGAAAAGTTCGGCGCCTGCGGCGGGCTGAGCCTCGAAGACTGCCGATGACCCCGCCGCTCCCTCACTCTTATACGCAACTGCGGGGTGCTGCGTGTACCTCCGCCTCGCACAGTCTTCTTCGTTTCCCCCCCTCCCCAACAGAACAATAAATACTCTTTCTTCCTCCCGGCGTCCCGCGCAAGGCAGATCGCGTGTTGCGGAAGCCCCGCAGCTCCAGCTGGCCCGGGGCTTGGCCGCGGTCGAGCCGGGGGCGCTGTCTATATTTGGGTCACCGCGGGGAGTGCTCAGCCAGGGGGTCGGAGTGTATGCCAAGGTGGGTTTAGTCTGTCCGAAGATTGTTTAAATGTGGGTAGCATGTGCCCCAAGCCGCTCAGGGTGGTTTCGTCGATCCCTCCGCGAAGTGGGCGGAGATGGTTTTGCCATGGGAAGCGAGACGCTCCCACACACAACGTCCTTGGACGTGCTGGGGTCTCAGGGTTGGGCTTCTTGTCGGAGGTTTCTTGTGCTCAGGCCTCCACGGTAGGTCAGAGCCCCGAATCATCAGGGGTAACTCGGGTCAGGGCTAACTCGGGTTCGTTTTTCGGGATTCCGAACCCGACTTACCCCGGACCCGAGTTACCCCGGATAATTCGGGCGTCCAGAGCCCCAAAATCGTCAGGGGTAACTCGGGTCAGGGCTATCTCGGGTTCGTTTTCGGGAATCCAAGCCCGAGTTACCCCGGACCCGAGGTACCCCGGATAACTCGAGCGCCCAAGTAGGTTAGGCTGGGCACAGCTCACCTTGGCATCCCGTGATCGCCCCTCGATCCCCGCGGTGGCCCCCGTGCCGCTCCCAGCGGAGGCCCCATCGCGGCCGGGAGCCCGCAGTCCTGAGGCGGCCCGTCGAGGCGACGGCGGCCCTCCCTGGCGGACCTCTGGCGGGGTGTGTGTCTTGCAGCCGCGGCGTGCCCCCCCGGGGCGGCCACCTCCTCGGGCTCGGACGGAAGGGGGGGATTGGGAAAGGGGGGTTTACGAAATCTGCTGCGTGCAGCTGGTTTCGGCCCCGCCGAGGGGCCCATTCGTCGATACATCGCCGCCTCCGGCGCCGGGAGGGACCGGGAAAATCAGCCACGTGAGCTGATTCTCACCCCCCCCCCCTTTGTTATCCCCCCCTTTCGCCTGGCCCGACTTTCGGGCGCTGGGGCGTCAAAGGTGGATCCGGGGCACACAGAAAGATCCCTGGGGAAAGGTTCGGAAGCCCTGGGGCCGAGGACGGGAAGAGAGATATCGGAGGATGCGTGGCTCGGGGAGAGGGGGGGTCCGTCGAGACAGCGGAGGCCCTCCCTGTCGGCATTTCTTCCCTTCTGCACCTCCCCGAAGCTTCTCGTCGCCAGTGCTGGGTCCCCTTGCTAGAACAAGAGCAGGAGGAACCCCTGGAGGGGTGCGGCGGCCGAGCTGGAGCGGATGCGGGCGGGGCGGGAGGTCCGCCGTTGTCTCAATCGGCCCTCCTCCGCATAGTAGGTTCCGCACGGCGTCATGTTGGATGTCGGATGTCGGGGAGGGGGAGGGGGAGTGGGCAAGCTAGGTGCGCTCGCGTCATATCTGACGTCGTCCTGACCCTCCCTCCCAACCCTTACCTTGGCGGATGTCGTAGCATGGCGCACAATCGGATTCGCACAATCGGATGTCGTAGCATGGCGTAGCAGTATATGGCAGAGCATGGTGTTGAGGATCGACGTGCAGCATGGCATGGCATGGCGTGGCGACGCCCCAAAGCGAGGGGGGGCGGCCTCTGCGGCCCAACAAAAACCAACGGGTCGACACCGAATGTGGAATCACTTCCGATGTTTTTTTTTTTTCGGGAGGCCATTTTCAAGATTTTGGGGCCTATTTGGAAGGACCGAAAACCATGCCGTGGCATGGCATTGGAAATCATGACTCCAGCGCTGCAGCGGGAGCACGATTCGGGGCGAGCGGAAGCGCGGAAATGAGGCTAGCGCTGCAGCGGGGGCACGATTCGGAACGAGCGGAAGCGCGGAAATGACGCCAACGCTGCAGCGGGAGCACGATTTGGAACGAGCAGGAGCCCGAAAATGAGGCCAGCGCCTCAGCGGGAGCAATCTGTTGAATAGAAACCAGCGAAATCCCAACTCCCGGGAAGCTTGTGCGTAAAAAATATTATGCGGAGGTGGGCTGGATATTTTTTGGACGTCGTCAGGGGAGACAGGAGAGTAGTCTTCATATCATGCAAGTCTGGAGGTGTGGTAGGAGGGAGAGGAGGGGGAGGAGGGGGAGAGCTGGGCTTCGCGGGGCGGCGGAGGAGGACAGGTTCCATCTCGATCCGATCGATCGGGTGTTCGATGCTCGAGGTGTTCGTGGTGCGGCGGGGCGGGGCGGGTTTCTTGCAACCTGATATTGTCGGCCACGCGCAGAGAGGGGGGTAGGGGGGAGGGGGGAAGGCTTCGTAGAAGCACCCCGGCATCTCAGAAGGCGCGGGCCATCTCCGTACATGTGAGACCGGCGCCTTCCAAGAAGCAGCCCCTTTCTGAGAGGCCTCCCCCCCACCCCCTACCCCCCTTTCGGATGCAACTCCTGGGAGGTCAAATTCTGATTTAGCCCTGGTCCGAAGTCCCGCTTAATCCGGCTTAATCCCGTTTAATCCCGCTTATAATCCCGCTTGATCCCGCTTGATCCGGCTGAATCCTGCTTAGTCCGAGGCCCTTTCCGGCGTAACAGCTCCCAATTGGGGCGTAATCCTCCTTAATCTTTCCGACGAAGACCTCCCAGCAGCTGCCTCCTAACCTTCCCCCCTCTGCGCGCCGCCAGTATTGGTTGGTCCCCGCTGTGCGGCCACTCTGCCCTCCAGTCTGCCTGCGCCCCTCCACTCGGGCCCCCCCCCTCCGTTCCGAGGAGGAGGAGGGAGCTGCCTCGGAAGTGCTCGCATTAGGTCGGGCGCGTCCCTTTACAGGAGGAATATTCAAGAATAATCAGGGGAGGATTTTTCGGCTGTTTTTGTCCATTTGGGGGCATCTTTTGACAATTGTTGTATGTTTCGTCCAAAGCCCCCCTGTAGGAGGACACGCCCGGCCTGATGCTCGCACCCTCGACTCGACCGCCTGCGCCTGGAGTTCCGGCTGTTCTCTCTCTGCCCACCGAGGCTCGGAAGATGAGGTTTTCTGGTCTGGCGCTCTTCCACCGACTGGGTTCTTAGAAGGGTTCTTAGGCCACGTAGGATCGATGGCGCAGCGAGTCGCAGGCGGCAGCAGCAGGGGCCGATGAGATTCCTGCAACAGCAAAAAAACAGCATAGCTTAGACCATGTAGCGGGCACCTCGCGCAACCCAGCGCAACAGTTTCACATGACCCATGATGGGGGGCTCTCGCTGAGCACCTCGTTGAACCGTATGGTCCTACCTTCTTGGTGCCCTCACCACGAGCTAGAAGGATGCACGGCAGTTCCGTTTCAAAGCGGGGCTCTCGCCCAAATGGCAGGCGGTTCTCGTTGTTCAAGGGACGCTTCTTGTAGTAATAAGGAAGGCCTCAGGCACTTCGGGAGCTTGTGACGGGAGGGTGCATTGCAACATCGTTTATGCATCTTGGTTTTAGTCTGGCATTCCCCTCTTACCATCCATCGGACACGCTCTGCCACCGATCCTCCTACTTTTCCTTTCCTCGTATCTTCCTCCTACCCTCATCCTCCCTCTTTCCCACCCTACCCTCCACCTACTCGCCTCCTCCTCCTCCTGCTCCTCCTCCTCTTCCTCGTTCTCCTCCCTCTCTGATGCGCTCGTCTCCTCCTACCCTCCACTCTACAATCCCGAATCACCCAATCCTCCACCGTCTTCGTAACTCCCTCCCTACCCTCCTCCTCCTCCTCCTCCTCCTCGTCGTCCTCCTCCTCCTCCTCCTCCTCCTCCTCCTCCTCCTCCTCCTCCTCCTCCTCCTCCTCCTCCCCCCCCCCCTTGGGTGAGGGCCTCGTACTTATTTTGACGGCGTCAGCGCGACACACCTCGCGGGGCACACTGTCACAGTCAGCCGCGCGTTACGGCTTGGGGCAAGCAGGCTGGCTTTATTCGCTCCACAATTTGCTCCGTGGCACCTGGCCTGGAACCATGGCGTTCAGCTGCGCTCGTGACACTGGTGCTATGCTCCGCGCTGGCTTTCGGGCACGGGAATGTGCATTCGGTTGACAGGCGGGGCTATGTGGTCAGTAAGTCCCATGGGGTCTTCGTGTCCGCTCGCCCTGGGGTGCCAGCCCAGGTGCACATGCTAGTTAATTTCGCTGGGGTGATGGTCGCGAAGTACCGTTGTGATGACGAGTTGAACCAACCTTCCCCAAAACGATACATGCCATCTCATCTGGGCGGCGAATGACGGGGCGACGAGACGTTTGCCTATCCCTTGCTTGTCTCGTGTGCTCCGTACCTGCGGGTGCGCGGCTCCTCCCCTGTGGGAGGCTAGGGGTAATCGGTTTGTCTCGGGAGAGCACCGTTTTACTTCGTGGGTTCCATGATGCTAGGACTCCTCCTCCTCCTCCTCCTCCTCCTCCTCCTCCTCCTCCTCCTCCTCCTCCTCCCTCTCTGACGTGCTCGCATCCTTCTCCGACCCTCCGTCTAACACGCTTGTCTCCTCCTGCCCTCACCCGCCCTCCTCCTCCCCCTCCTCCTCCTCCTCCTCCTCCTCCTCCTCCTCCTCCTCCTCCTCCTCCCTCGCCCCCCTGCACGGCGCACGTAGCGGCGGCATGAGGGCTCTTAGCGAGGCATCGCTGGTGCTTTGCCCGACAGGTGGGCCGCCATTTAACAAAACGTGTCTATTTTCATCGCTCGGTGATGCTTAACAGCCAGGTTGTTATTCCCCCAATTCCACGAGCATCTGGATGTAAACAAGGACAAGCGCTGCCGCAAACTGATTATGATTCTGATGTGCCTTCTCCCTCCGAACCCCCTCCTGTGCTTCCACCTCTCGTCCTCTGCTGCAGCCATACTGGCGAACGGTTGAGCGCAATCGCTTGGCAGCTTGCCGCGGCCATCGGCCCCTCACCCAGACCACCCGCGGGGCCGCCATGGGGCGACGTCCGGCGCGCTGCTACCGCTACTGCAAGGGCAAGCCGTGGCCAAAGTCCCGCTTCGTGCGCGGCGTGCCGGACCCCAAGATGAGGATCTCCGCGAGCGAGCCAGTATGGCTTGCGGTTGCGCCCCGGCGGCCCTTCCGAGAAGTCCCAGCTGGCCTCGAGAGACCCCTCG